CCAGAGCGTGCGCCAGTCTGGCGTCGCGCCCCCCCCCCCCCCCCACACAGGAACTGGTTCCTGGCGTGTCCGCGCTGACCCCCATCGTGCTGTTGGCTTCAAGCGGCGGAGCTCCCGCCCTGGGTCGCATACGCGGCAGGTTGACGATCATCCCCCCCGCTGGTCTGGTACGTCACTGTCGCCACTGGGCTACCCTTTCGGCCCTGTCTCCTCGTCGCCTTTGGGGCGTGCCTCTGCCCCTGGTGGCTCCTGGACGGCGTCAGCCATGCGGATTGATCATATGGCCCTGGAGATGGCCTGCTGGATTGGACGTCGCTTGCGCTTATGGTCTGCGTCAATGGCCACTTCGCTACCCCCCCAATTGCGACTCGGCTGACATGTCGCTCTACTCTAAGTCCCGGCTCCTCGGCAAGGAGCTTCGTCCTCGACGTTGCCTGAGCCTGAGCTCCGACGCGCCCGTCTTCTCCGCCGTCTCTTTTCGCCTCTCGTTCTCCTTCTTCCTGTGCGCCCTTGTTTTCGCTGGTCCTTGCTCTTTCGCCCTCTTGCTTTTCGTCGCCTCGCCCTCTGTGTGCTTTCGTTTGTTTCTCCTCCGTCGCGTTATTCTCGCCACCGTTGTGGCCCTTTTTCCGCCTGTCCTGTTAGGTTGGCCTGTCGTCTACCTTGACGGCGTGCAGCTGCCTGCGCCGCTCGCGATCAAAAAAGTATCCCCACCAGCCCATTCAGAAGCCCTGCCCACAACAGCTGACGGGAAAAGGGACAAAGGGACACATCTAGGGAAACAAAGCAAGCAACTAGGATGAACCGAGATCTCTGGGAGCAACGGGGTGGCCTTGGAAGGCCTCTTCGGGCCATCCCTGGGGGCTGCGTGGGGGCGAGCGAAAGAGGAGGAAGAGGAGAAGGAGGTGGAGGGATCCAAAGAGTGTGATCCCAATGTTATTTTCTCGTCTGCCCGGCTAGCCGGGCAATGATGGGAGGGAGAGCGGTGGTGGTGGTGAGAAGCTGGAGGAGAAGAAAGGTAAAAAGGGGGAGGAGGAGGAGGACGAGGATCAGGAGGGGGTGGTACAAGAGATCAAATGAGGGAAATCCCGGTTGTATTTTCTCGTCTGCCCGGATAGCTGGGCAGTGGTGGGGGGAGAGCGGTGGTGGTGAGGAGGAGGGAAGGAGTAGAAGTTGAAAAAAGGGGGAGGAGGTGGACGAGGAGCAAGAGGGAGGAGGAGAAGGGTGCCGCGTGAATGGACACCACATGTCGCCCAAAGGGCTGGTGGGATTTCTCAGCCATCAGCTGGTGCTGCTGGTGCTGGTGGTGCTGCTGATGTTGATGCTGCCTCTGCTGGTGCTGCGGCCGGTGCCCTGGAAGGCCTTTTGGGGCCATCTAGGAGAGCATCGATCAACAGATGGGGGTCCTCGATTTTGGCCCCCTTCCAGAAGCCCTCAAAATCGCCTCTTGAAGCTGTCCTGGGGCTCTTTGGGAGGGTATTGAAGCTCTCTTGGGGCTCTTTTAGGTGTCTTGGGGCTCTCTTGGGGCTCTCTTGGGGCCCTCTTGGGAGCCCTAGAAGACCTCTCGGGGCCATCTTGAAGGCCATCTTCAAGACCTCTTGGGGCCATCTGATGTAACGTTCAGCCCCCCCCAAAAGAGGCCAAAATGCGGCCAACACCTGCATAAAAACAACGATGTTGGCTTCCTCGCCGAGGCCGTTTTGGACGCCCTGACACCCCGCGGGACACCTCCAAAAAGTCCAGGGGACGGGGTAGGGGGAGGAGTAAACCTTCCCCGTAGGGAGAGATGTTTTTTGGGGGAACAAAGGAAGAGAAATCTCGTTGGACCACATGCGCCCAGAGGACTGGTGGGATTTTCTGTTGCACCGTTTGCCAGCCCTGGAGGGCCCGAAGACGGAACCCAGAAGGCCCAAGAGATCCCCAAGACGGCCAAAGACGCCCCGAAGATGAGAGGGTCCCGAGGGGGGCCCAAGAAGGGGAACACGAACCAACATTTGAGCCCTCCGCCCTAAAATGACCCCCGAGATCGCCAGCAGGCCCCCAAGAGGCTCCTCCAAAGCCAAGGGACCCACAGGTGACCCAAATCAGGCCCCAAGAGGCCGCCAAGAAGCCTCCGAGAAGCCCCCCAAACTGTCCAAAACCGCTTCCCAGAGGCTTCCGAGAGACCTCGCAAGAGATCCCCATAGGCATCCAAGCATCCTCTGACCTACAAACAGGGCGCGGTGGCGGCAAGGGCCGAAGGCCACTAGACATTTGCGAAGCCCGTCGCGATTCCTTTCGCCGTGACGCTACACATAGTGAGGGGCAACGATAGCATGGAGTGAATCATCGACCTGGAATCGGCGATACATCGCCGGTAGATCGGCGATCGGCCTCCGATAGCGAATCCGCACCTTCCTGGGTGGGGAGGGGCTATCAGAGCCCTATCGGCATTCATTGGGCGATCGGGGGTCGATGCATCCCCCCTCTGCCTATCCCCCCATCGTTGCCCCTAACCGATGAGGGAGAGGGAGGGTCAGGGGGGGGAAAGAGGGAGAAGAAGAAAATCCAGCTGCCTTCGAGGAGGCGCGATGGACGGCATCCGAGAGGGATGCACGAGCGACGACTTTCGAGAAGGCAGGAAATGTGCCGTCGCTCGCACGTCAAGTCCCCCTGCATTGTTCGATTTCGCGTGCTTTTTTTTCGCAAGATGAGCCAACCGGCTACTCGATGGTCCTCGCCGAGAAAAAATGCTCAAGTCCGAGCGATGCCAAAGGAAGGAAGAGGGAGGAGGACGAGGAGCAGCGGGCAGCAGGAAGGCGAGAAGATGGAAGGGGAGGGGTGCAGGAGGGATGACGGAGTCTCGGTGCTCCTGCTCCTCCTGCTCCTGGTCCTTCCCCCCCACCTCCCCCCCCCCTCCTCCTCCTCCTCCTCCTCGGCCTCCTCCGCTGCCTCCTCCGTAACCATTTTGGCTCAAGTGAGCCGCGCTCAGGGAGGGCCCTCGCAGCGCGCCACGCAGGCGCGTGGCGCGCAAGAGGCCATGGTGTCGGCGGGTGGCGCGGCTGGCGGCAGATGCCGGGCGGCCGCGAGAGCGCCTGCACGCTCGCCCGCAGGTTGCGGCGCGAGGCTCGCGAGAAGGCCTTTCGCGACTCCCTTCGCGAGCACTGGCGGCTGTGCGACAGCCTCGGGGCGCACCTGCCCAGCATGGGCGAGGCGCTGCAGGCCGCCAGGCTGCTTCGGATGCCGCCCGACACCATCGCGCAGTGCGAGGTCGCGCTGCAGGAGGGGAACCTGGGCCAGGCACGCGCCTCCGCCTGGCGCGGCGGGCGGCCCGCCTCGCCCCTCCTCAGCCGCTGGCGCCTCCACGCACGGGGGCTGGGACGCCCGAGCGCTCGAGCGCATGCTGACAGGCGAGGCGATGCCGCTCAGGGGCGAGGCCAACTTCGTGAAGGCCGACACGCTGCTGCAGGAGCTTTGCGTCGGCGGCCCTGCGGGCCTTAGGGGCACCGATTCCGCGCTGGACGTGGTTGGCGATTGCCCCGTCGTCGAGGCGAGCTCGGACGTAGAGTTCGAGTGCGTTGCCTCCCCGACTATCCAGCCGAAGGAGCAGCTAGAGGTGCTGAAGCTGCAGGAGGAGGAGCCCACGGTCGAGCTCGAGCGGGCCCTGGTGGAGCCCGTGGGCGCGTGCACGGCCGTTGACGTCGAGGTCGGCTCGGAGCTGGAGTTCGATGCCGTGGAACGCCTCGGGAGCGGGATCACCGTCGACGGGCCCCCCGAGGCCGTGCCTGCGAGGTGCCCGCCGAGCTGGTCCAGGCGCTCACCACCGAGGAGCCCGCCGAGCTGGTCCAGCCGGACACCACCGAGGAGCCTGCCGAGCTGGTACAGGCGGGCAGACACCATCGAGGAGCCCGCCGAGCTGGGCCAGGCGGACACCACCGTGGAGCCCACCGAGCTGGGCCAGGCGGACACCACCGTGGAGCCCGCTGAGGTGGGGGCCCAGGGCGGCCGAGGGGGTCTTCACCAGCCCGAGCAGCGGCGTCGTCGAACGGCTCTTCTCCAGGCTGTTCGCGCGAAACCGCGTGATGAGCGTCTCGAAGCCTGCGAATGGCGAGCCGACGATCGGGCACCCTGACGTCGGCGTGAGCCTGCAGAACGTCGTCCTCCAGAGCGAGGCCGAAGGCATCGCTCTCGGCTCCGTGTACGACTTTATGGGGAGGGCCCGCCTCCGGCAGGCCTACTTCCTGAAGAGCGCGTACCTCTTCCAGGTGGATGGCGGGGTCGGCGACCCGTGAATGGCTGGCCTCTCGCGGGATCTGCCTCGGATGCCTGGCTGGCGGCCCCTTCGGCTTGTTCGGGGGGTGCGCCGCGGTCTCGGGCTCGTGCTGGCGCGCGTGCCCGTGTCCCCTCCCGGGGACGGCCTCTGGGGGCCGTATGGTGGCCCGACCGTCCCCGCGGGGGTGGCTTCCGTTCCCCTGGCTTTCCCTCGGGGTAGGCCAGGGTCGTGACGGAGGCCTGTCTGGGCATCTTCAGGGCCCTTCCCTCGTCGCCTCGGCGTCCGTGCGGCGTGCTCGCGGCGGCGCGGGAACCAATCGACATCGGGGGCCCTGGAGGTCGTCTGCGTGCAGACGGTCGCCAGGGCCTCTTTGATGATGCTCCATCCATCCATCCATTTTCTCCCTCCCTCCCTCCCTCCATCCCTCCATCCCTCCCTCCATGTATCCATCCATCCATCCCTCCATCCCTCCCTCCATGTATCCATCCATCCATCCATCCATCCATCCATCCATCCATCCATCCATCCATGTATCCATCCATGTATCCATCCATGTATCCATCCATGTATCCATGTATCCATGTATCCATGTATCCATCCATCCATCCATCCATCCATCCATCCATCCATCCATCCATCCATCCATCCATCCATCCATCCATCTCCTCCTCCTCCTCCTCCTCCTCCTTCCTCCTCCTCCTCCTCCTCCTCCTCCTCCTCCTCCTCCTCCTCCACCGCCACCTCCCGATACTGCTTCTCCGTGAACCTCCCAGTGCGAGGCACTCGTCAGTGATACCTTGCAGGCTGCGCGAGTCACGTCACTAGTAAGACTTGTAGGCCCAGCCGGGGGGCACGTGCCAGCCCCTCACGCTGCCAGCATCGCTGCTCTCCTGCGCACGCCACGGGGCACGAGCTGGCTGGAGCACGGAGGAAGGAGAGCAGACCGAGGGAGTCGGAGGGGCAGCAGGGGGGGCGGGGAGAGGGCAGGAGAGCCCAGAATCGGCGGAACTCGGCAGAGCAGCAGGGTCTCGTTGAGAAATCGGAAGCCACATCGGAATCCCAGGCCGAATCGGACCGGAATCGGAACCCATCGAAGTCGAATCGGTTCGGATCGGAGGAACCGAACGAGCCCTGAGAGGGGGAGAGAACGGGCGCGTGGGAGACGCACGGGAGAAGGTGGAGGGGGCGTCCCTCGCCTGCCCCCCCTCCGCCGCCCTCTCCCAAGCGGGGGGCCTGTCGGCGCCTCTCGTGGCCGGACCAGGCGCCCATTGGAAGTACGCAGGGCACTGCGCACCCCCCACGGGTGCACCACTCCTCGTCCTGGTCTGCCGGCCATGCCGCGCTCGCACACACCCTCCGCCAGCAATCGAAGCAGCACAAGAGCTTGGGCAGGGGACATGGGCCGATGCGTGCTGGAGAGCATTCGGCAGGGGGGCGAAGCCCAGGCCTCAGGAGGGCGCGTAGGAGTGACGGAGGGGCGGAGAAGCAAACGGCGCGCTGCTGCGCTGCGGCGCTCCCTCTCGGCGGCGAGCGAGGGGGGGAAGTGAGAAGGAGAAGGAGAAGGCCTTCTCAGAAGGCAGCGGGGCTTCACACAGGCCTCCAGCCTTCTAGAAAGTTGTTCCTCTCTGTGGGGAAGGCTTGGGAAACTTCTGAAGGCTGGGGGACTCCCAAGCCTTCTAAACAGGCTCGCTCCTTTCTCACTGCGCAGCCACCTGCCTGGGGCTGGACAGAACCCCGTTCCGCAAAACACGCCCCGGCGACGACGACCAAACTGAACGGGCGCAGGCCCACAAGCACTGCGGGTGCAGCACCCTCTCGAGAAAGTTCCACAGTCGGACCTGGGACAAAAGAACACCCTCCAAGACAATCAGACCCTCGGCAAGTCAAAACACACAGAACATCCAGGGGCGGCCTTCGCAGGATGCACAAGATCCCCCAACAAACACAAAGAACCGTAGGGTACCCTCCCCGAGCCGACCTCTACCTTCTGCCTCGGTCCGACTGCATCAAGACCCGAAGCCTAGGGCCACGAGGATGGCGCCGCCACGCTCCCGGCGCCTCCCGCAAGCGTGCGTCCGGCAGAGTCCGCCCGTGATGCACGCCTCCGAAGGCTCGGTTCGTGCATCCCTCGGCCGACGATGCGCAAATCGATGCAAACCGTCGGGCACTCCGTCCTCGTCCTAACTGCCGTCCATATCAGCAACACCATGCTGTGCTGTGCCTCGACGGCACAAGAACGCCGTCGTCGTCGTCGGCGTCGTCGTCCGGGCAATGCCGAGGGGAGTCACCACCAGCGGGGCCGCCAGCTCGAGGCGGCAGCGTCACTTCCTCGAGGAAAGGGGAACCCCGAACGCTCCAGCGCGCCTCCACGCGTCCAGAGAAGCCTCCTCGAGCTTCGATCCTGGAGCCTCGGTCCTCGGGGTGACCCCCCTGAGCACCGCCCGAGCACTCGGTCATCTGGGGGGCCCCCATTCGGAGACCTCCCAAGTGGGGTCGTAGGACCGCGCCGCATCCCTGATGCATCGCGATGCATCGGCGATGCATCGTCGACCAACGGGCGACGCCAGCGCAGAGAACACCAGGCCCCACATCGAGCCGCATCGCGAATGCATCGGCGATGCGGCGCGATCCTCCGACCCCACCTGCTCGGACCCCACCTGAGAGGCCTAGACTGGCACTGCCCGAGTACCAAGGGGGACACTGCCGCCGACGCCGCCAGGGCTCGACAGGCGCGGGCCGAGCCGACGCTCCTCCACGAAGACCAGGCCCAGCGTCTTCACGCGCCGCTCCTGCCGCGCGGCCCGGAGGGAGGCGAGGAGCTGGGGGGATCGTCTTGGGCCCGGGGCTTGTTTGTATGTCTTGGCTTACTCCAAACTTCAGCATAAAAGAGGGGGTTGATATGTTGGGGGGTCTGAGTCGAGCCGTCTTGAAGGGTCGCGGGGGTCTGGACAAAAGGCCGCACCTTCATTGCTGGCCTGGGGGTATGAAGTCGCTCGCCTGGGAAGGCTGTGATCCCCTCCCTGTGATCATGAAGTGTGGAGTACTGCCAACAACGGCAGCGACCTCGAAGCTCTGTTGGCGATGGTGCTGGCACGATGCACTCAGGGATCTGGGAGTCGCGCCAGCAATGGGCGAGCAAACAAGGGGAACCTTCGGGAAGCTTAAATTGGTTTGACACGTGAGCGAAGATCCAAAACGGGCCTTGCGCGAGATGGTATGGCAACCCTACGCGGTGGCCTACGCAGGCCACCAGCGCGGCATGCCAGGCTAGGAAGCGAAGGCGCTTAGGCGCAACCTGACGCGAGCAGCCTACGCGCCAATGTCGGCGCAGTCGAATCCGTCTTTTTGGGGCGTCGCTCACGTGCCACTCGGTGTAGTCTGGATGGGACAATCATCGCCCCCCCTTGAATCCGCTGGGGGGGTTGGGCACGTGCTGTCGGCACCGGTGGAGGGGGTGTTGGAGGAAGAGGAGGATGAGGGGGAGGAGGACGGAGGGGGCGGGATTGGGCAAGCTCAGTCGGGAGGTGAATCCCCACCACCTTGATCAATACCCCATCCAGAGTAAGCGCGACATTACGCGAGCAACCTTACGCGCCAATGTTGGCGCAGTCGAATCCGTTTTTTTGCGTCGTTCGCTTGCCACTCGGTGTCATTGTACCCTCGGCTCTTTGGCGCCACGGCGAGACCCGCCCCGAGCTTCTGGCCAAGTCACCCACCCCGAGAGCCATCCGGAAGCCGAGTCTTGGCCCCCGAACTGCTCCGCGGGCCAGGAAGCGGCCTCTGGACGGCTCCAGGCAGGAAAGCTCAGAATCGAATCGACAAGTCGGATCGGCAATCGAAATAAATCGGATCGAGAGAAATCGGCAGCCGTGTCGGGAAAAGCATCGGAATCCAAAGTCGGATCGAATCGGAATCGGAGGCCATCGACATCGAATCGAATCGGAGGAATCGAAATGAGCCCTGCCAGGGTCGGCGGCGAGCGAGGGGGGGGGAAGCGAGAAAGAGAAGGCCTTCTGAGAAGGCGGCGGGGCTTCTGAGAAGGCCGCCGGCCTTCCGAGGCACATTGTGTCTTCGGGGAAGGCTCAGGAAACTTCTCAGAGGGCCGGGGGACATCCAAGCCTTCTGGGAAGGCCAGCTCCTTCTCATTTACCCCCCTCGCTCGCCGCCGACAGGGGGTCCAAGAATCGGCCTCTTGTGTCTTGACTCGCTTGAGCGCCGCAGGCCTGTGTTACACAGGCCTACAGCGCTTGAGCGCATCAAGACACAAAGCATTCCGATGTCTACGGCGTCTGGAGGCAGCCTTCGGGCTCCAGGACCATGACCATCAAAAGAAGGATAGTGGTAACGACGCCGAAGGTCCTGTGAGGTGACGGGAGTAGGATGGAAGATCCACGTTTCAGGACGTTCTTGAATTTAGGGCCCGCCCACAAGACGAACGGAGGAACGTGCCGGCCACATGCAATTCCTTGATTCGGCTTGCGGCAAACATCGGCGTGGGGGCCGCGACTCCAGGCAGCTGTCTGCAACGACTGTGACAGTAGCGCATTTGCGGCGTCCCAAGCGCATCTGCACCACATGAGTTGCAAGCAAGAGGGCGGGAACCCCATGCGAATGTTTGCGCGTGTCAACGCTCCCCCTCCTTCTTGTCAAACGAATGACCAAACTCAGCTTTGGTCGACTGCCCATCTGTCGCAAACCTGATGGCAACAGAGTGGGCTGGGTGTCCATGCGAAGATAATTGTGTCTCCTCTCATCCACGCCGCTTGCAGCACGCTTTTGGTCAAAAAGGGAACGGGAATCGCGAGGACAGGTAGGGAAGGGGGAGGGGGTGGGGAGGAGCAGCAGGGACGACGAGAATGCGGAGCAGCAGCAGGAGGACCGTCGAGGTGAGAACGATGGAGAAAGGTGACGAAACCTCGAGCTCGGGCAGCGGAGGAGGAGGAGAACGTCTTCGGGGGAAGGGCTGGGGAGGAGGAGGCCACTGCCCCGCGGCTTGAGGAGGAGGGCGAGGAGGACGAAGAGGGTGAGGTCCGTCGGTCGGCACTCGCCATCTGATCCCAGTGAATAGTGCCAGCATGTGCACAGAAGATACATCGGCGGCATCGTCAAACAGCTAGACCAGGGCCCCCCAAGAATTGCCAAACTAGGAACACCAAATTCGGAACACCGAGGCAGTCTGGGTCGGAATGCCAGCAAGATGTGGCAACGGCGATTGCAATCACCGCGAATCTAGAAGACCCCACTCCAGCAACGAACAGCCGAAGAAGAGAAGCCCCGACAGTCGACAAGCGGCCTTGGCTCCTCCTCGTGGGCATAGTGGGGCTCCCCGGGCAGAGGCCTCCTAGATGCGGTCCGAGCAGATCGCGCGCATCGCCACTGCATCGCCAATGCGTAGACGGTGCGTCGACGACACATCGGCGATACAACGGCGATGCAGCGGCGACGTCTGCGATGTAAAACATCGACGTCAGCGTGGGAAACACTAGACGTCGAGCCGGTCCTTCGACGATCGGCAATGCGACGCGGCCCCCCGACCCCACTTGGGAGGCCCATGTTGGGACGTCTTTGGACTTCCAGGTGACCTCGTGGGATCGGGGGCCTCGCGCCGCTCGATAGCAAGGCGGACTGGCCATCCTCGGGCCTGGTGGACAGCGGGGGCGCACAGCTCAAGAGAGGACCGACCGTAGCCGAAGTTCAGCAGGTTCCCCGAGCCCAGCAGTCGGTGGTGTGTAGGGCGGAGGCGCGTGCTGCATATGGTTGGGCGTCCGTAAACTAGTCCGCATTGGTCACCGCAAACCCTCGCCATCGCTCGGACGTCCATTCCCCGTGCATTTTTCGGTGTGGTGCGTTTATTGTTTCGCGAGCTGACCTAACATGCCCCTCGATGGTCCCTGCCGAAGAAATGAACACGTCCGAGCGATGTCAAGAACGTTGGACTTATGAAACATAAGGAAAGCGAGGATAGCGAGTCTCATAGCGTCGGTGCGGGTATTAACTGTCGGCGACAACTCACCATCACTCGGACGTCCGTTCCTCGTGAATTTGTCGGTTTCGCGCGTGTATGTTTGCAAGATGGTTCAGTATGTTCCACGGTGGTCCTCGACGAGAGAAGCGCACACGTCCGAGCGATGCCAAGACAATGCCGAGGAAGGACACTGGACTGGACGAGAGACGGAGGCGCTCACAGAGGACAGGGCAAGACAACTCAAGAGAGGACTAGGAGAAGAAGGAGCGAGGTGGGGGAGAGAAGAAGAAGGAAAGACAAAACACCTGGCGCCCGCCAGAGCGCGTGAGAAATATGTGAAACGTACACGAACGCGGATGCCTTCAGCAAACCGCCCATGTCTTGACCGCCAGCTCCCGCTTGCGAGCTGCACCGCCCTCTCGGCGGAAGTAATCAGCGAGTCGCTCATGGGAACAGGCAGCATTCTCACAATTATTTAGCACCATGGGCCCCTAAGATCTAAGATTGCCTCGGGCTTCCCTGCAGAAGCCCCTCGAGTCCTCAGTGCTACGTCTCATAATGTGAAGCAAGCCCAATGTCGCGCTCGGCCACGGAGAGCACGAACGAGGCAGCGCGAGCGTCTTCTGCCCGAAGTACCTCCAGCACTTCGAGGCCGGGCCTGGACCTCAGGTCGGGGGCTTCGGAACACTTTAGGCACAGGTCTGAAGGAGCCAGGGGGGCCCACCGACCTTCCCCCACCGCGCCCTCTGAAGGAAGACGAAGAATCTGATTGAAACGGCGTCGGAGCTGGAGCCGAGCCGTTGTCATCGGCGACGAGCGGCATTCCAACTCTCTGCCCCTGGGGGCCGCCAACGACACCAAACTTGCACCCGCGGCTCCTGCCGCGGCGCCTCGCTCGCGACGCCTCGGGGATTGGAAGCGGCCGTGGGGTCTAGGCTGGATGCGCACCGAGAAAATCGGTCAGGAAGGGGGGGGGGCGACAGCAAATCCGGTCAAAATCACACCCCAGACCACTCCAGGGGTCCAAACCGATCAATGGCTCGCACCGCGTCCAGCCGTGGGGACGCGAAATGCAAAATAATCCCGAAAAAGACGAACCAAATTCTAGCCGAAGGACCCGACCGTAAGCAAGTGGATTCTGCGGTTGTGAATATCGTCTACCGTGTGAAGGACGTGTCGAAGTGGGTGCGGAGGACGCATGCGCACACTGCCACTGGTGCCTTCGATGCAACTCCCGATGGGACAACGAAACGTGTGAGGGTTGCGACGGTGTGCCATAATGGGTGCGAGGGATGCCACTGGGACCTTCGGTAGAGCGCTTTCTGGGGCAACGGAACGTGTGAGGGGTGTGCCGCGCGTGCGAACGGTGCCACTGGGACCTTCGGTGGAGCTCCTTATGTGGACACGCAACGTGTGAGTGGTGTGCCGAAATGGGCGGAGTGGGACGCATGCGAACGGTGCCACTGAGACATTCGGTTGAGCTCCTCATGGGACTACGAAGCGTGTGAGGGGTGTGCCGGAAAGGAAATGGGTGGCGGGGACGCATGCGAACGGTGCCACTGGGACCGTCGGTGGAGCTCCCTCCACGAAACGTGTGAGGAGTGTGCCGGAAATGTGTGGCGGAGACGCATGCGCACGGTGCCACTGGGACCTTCGGTGAAGCTCCGTGTGGGACCACGAAGTTTGTGAGGGGTGTGCCGTAGGTGTCGGGGACGCATGCGGACGGTTTCACTGGGACCTTCGGTGGAGCGGTGGAGCTCTTTGTGGGGCCACGAAACGTATGAGGGATGTGCTGCGATGAGTGGCGGGGACGCGTGCGAACGGTGCCAATAGGACCTTCGGTAGAGCTCCCTATGGGGCTACGAAACGTGTGTGGGATGTGCCGGAAATAGGTGGCGGGGACGCATGCGCACGGTTCCAATGGGACCTTCCGTGGTGCTCCCTATGGGACCACGAAACGTGTGAGGGGTGTGCCGAAATGAGTGGCAGGGACGCGTGCGAACGGTGCAACTGGGACCTTCGGTGGAGCTCCTTATGAGACCACGGGGTGTGCCGAAATGGGCGGCGTGGGACGCATGCGAACGGTGCCACTGGGACCTTCGGTGGCGCACCCTAACACTGTAAGGGGTGTGCCAAATGAGTGGTGGGGACGCGTGCGAACGATGCCACTAGGACCTTATGTGGAGCTCCCTAGGGTCCCTATGGGGTGTGAGGGGTGTGCCGGAAATCAATAGCGGGGGCGCATGCGAACGGTGCCACTGGGAGCTTCGGTGGCGCACCCCATGGGGCCACGAAACGTGTGAGGAGTGTACCGAAAACGTCTGAGATGCGGAGGGAAGAGGCAAGGATGGGCCACGAAGCGTGTGAGGGATGTGCCAAAATAGGTGGCAGTGACGCATGCGAACGGTGCCACTGGAAGCTTCGGTGGCGCACCCCATGGGGCCACGAAGCGTGTGAGGAGTGTACCGAAAACGTCTGAGATGCGAAGGGAAAAGGCAAGGATGGGAGGAGAGAGGAGGGACCAGGAGGAGGAGGAGGAGGAGGAGGAGGAGGAGGAGGAGGAGGAGGAGGAGGAGGAGGAGGAGGTGGGAGAGACACGGGGCGCTGTCTCTTCAAAACGAGAACGCAACATCACATAATGGTTGGGGAAAAAACACTTCCGAACCCCCCTCTGCTAGCTGGAACCAGTGCAGGGCCACCTCAGATCCAAGCCGACTCCAACATGCCGAGGCGCCTCTCTGGCGACGTCTCGAGGATCTCAAGCCCTGCGCGGAGGAAAACTCCAAGCATGGTCGCAACGCTGGGAAGCAATGCTCGCGGGGTCTTCGGGCAGGGCGCTCGCGCACCGGTGCCACTCCGAGGCGGCCTCGCGAAGGCGCTGGCTCCCCCGGTGCTCTCGGGCATGCCAAAGTAAGCCATCCCAGGGGCGCGCGCTGCGATATCTTGGCCCTCGCCAGGAAGGCACGCGGCGTTGAAAACGTTCGGCGGGGCGGCGCGCGGCGCTGCGCGCGGCCCCCGGGAGCGCAAAGCGGGGCCGTCGCGCTGGGTGCACGAGCGGGAGAAGCCTCTGTGGCACGGCCGAAACGATGGACTTGCGGAGGGCAGAGGCAGGGAGGGAGGAGTGGAAGCGCCAGCGGGCGCTTCTGGGAGAAGATCTCGAGGAAGATATTGAAGAAGACGGGGATGTAGAACAAGAGTGGGAAAGTAAGATGTGCGAGTAAATGAGATAAGACATTGTATTTGCAGTGGGGCGGATGCCTTTGCTACACTCCAGAAGAGCGGTTTGCACTCGAGGCTCGAAAAGGCGGCGGCGCGCGGGAGGGAGGCGCCAAGCACTGTAATGAGGGGTCGGGGCTGCAGAACTCCCAAACTACTCTCCTCCTGCTTGGCGCCTGGCTTCCGCGCTCCGGAAAACTGCGGAAGAGGATCGGTCGAAAATCTTATCGGTGAAACCGACATCTATACCGCGATGCCTTACGTGGGGAACGCGAGCATTTTTCAATGCCCGCGCTCCTGTTCGTGGCAGGCTATCTCTTGCCCCGCCTAGCTGTTCTCCGGCAGATACCTAGGATAACACCCACATTGCTGCTATGGAGAATATTGCGCACATATGATACCGATCACATGGTACCTCATCACTATAGCCTGCTTCGTGACATCTTACTCACGACCGGCAGAGGGGAGGGGAGGACGAGGAAGAGAGAGAAAGGCGAGGCAGTCTATTTCATGACTGCCGGTTGCCTCCCTGCTTTACACAGACAGCCTATATCGCGACTGTCAGCTTCTACGAATTACACCCCTCAGTAGACCCCGTTTCGTGTCTGACCCTACACGTTCCCATGCAGGGGGTGACCTAGACAGGTCTTTGCTACAGGCACATTTCTATGCCCGAAACCCGACGCGTCTTCACTGCAGGGCCGCCGTACTCGCCGGAGCTCCCCTGACGCAAGTGCGGCTCTCTGCGAGGCAACTTTGCAGTTGCCAGTGGTGGTGCAGAGACAACTTTTCAAGTGCCTCAAGTGTTTCGGACTACCGTGCTGCCAGTGGTCTGCTTGCGGCCGTTCGACACGGTCGTGCTGGCCGCGGCGTGCGCTGCGCGGTATTCGCCTCTGTTGCTGACAGCAATCAGCTGGCCACGGGGGACTGACCCTTTGGTGAGGCCATCCGCCAACATATTCCTTGTGTCCGTCCAGAAGAGGCGTCGCAGGGTGCCAGACTGCAGGCGCTCCCTGAGAGAGAGCACATGCAGCTTCAGACTGCCCTCAACGAGCTCGCCCACGTCGGTGGCGGCCAAGCAATCGAACACGCTCCTGGCGTCAACTGCTGCGTCCACTGGAGGTTGGAGTCGTCCGTTGTCCAGGTCGTCCGCCAGGCTCTTGGCTGTGGCCGCGCAGCCGTGGTAGATCTGGTGGAAGCATATCTGGATAACCAGGAGGATCTCCAGGGTGTCAACCAACCCATTCAGCTCGCCACTGAAGGTCGAACGAACTACTCTGCGTTGGCGTCGGCACTGGAACTCCAAGATGTTGCAAGCCCCATCTGGAGATGCTGGCGTCGCGTCGCAATCTGTGTTGAGGACGATGACGCAGCCGCGGAGTGCAAGTCCAGACGACTCGTCGGGAATCGCCTTGAATGCTGCATCTGCGACCCCAACAAGTCGGAGGCGCCCTGGCAACTTCCTGAACAGGATGCCGACCTTGCGCCGGCGGACCCAACGCAAAACAAGGTTCAAGCGCTTCAGGTCCTGTGCTCTCGGTTCGGCTCCGCGTCGCTGAAGCGCCTGCGCGCACGCCGCTATGGCCGGCATTGTGAGGCAGAGCCAGGCAACGCCGCCAAGGAGTGTGGAGTAGTGGCTCTTCGCCTCAACGCTGCCGTTCTGCTCGTCTTGCAAATCAGCGTAGAATTTCTTGTCGATCTCCCTGATAGAAGCCACGTACTTCTCTTGGTGCGTGTAAATGCCGTCTGCTCTGGTCACATGCTCGATGCCAACGTGTGAAAAGTTGGTCCACTCCTGTGTGCAAGTGCCCACGTGTTTCTCCAAGTGCTTGAGGAGCTCCATAGCTATTGTTTTAGGGGCTCCACCCTTCAAGTCGTCGGCGTGTGCACTGAGAATCATGTTCAACTTGACATTCGCGTCGTGGAGTACGTGCAGTTGTGGGTCTGCGAACAGGGCTTTCAGGCCGAAGCCTTCGAGGATCAAGTGCAATTTCTTGCGCCATGCTCGCGGTACGTCCTTCAGGCCATACACTGCCTTGACCATCTGGATGACTTCTGTGCTGGGATTGAAATCCTTGTTGCCAGGAATCTCTCTCAGCAGATTGATATCATCAGGATGCAATTCGAACTGCACAACACGAAGAGGTTCGCCTGTCAACTCATAAAGCTCTTGGAAAGTCAGGCCCTTCGCGAAAGCGGCGCTGACGCCGATGCTGAACAGCGCCCAATCGTCCTGCTGCGCTGTGATGGCGTTCACAACGCGCTGGCCCCATCGAGTTGCCGTGCCGGCGAAAATGGCCAAATTTTCGTCGTGGTCTTTGAACCCACGCATCGTGAGTCGGGCCTTGATGAAGTGCTTGTTCTCTTTGTACTTCCACTTCAAGACCCACCTGGTGTCCACGATGATATTCGCCAAGCTCCGCCGGAGCCTGCGGAAGCAACCCAAATCATGGAGGCTCGTCAGCTCATGCTTCTTTGCCCTGGTTATGTCAATGGCATGGTTTGCCATGTCTTGCGCGCTCAGGTCGGTGAGTGCTTTCGAGATCGTGCTGAGAGGCTCGTCGGCGGCCAGGAACGAATCCCCCCCCGTTCCGGGGTCCTCTTCGCAGGGCACGTCTGGAAGCAGATCGCCCTCATCGCTGTCGGCCTCATTGATCTCCACTAACCACGTCTTGAGGTCCTTTTCGTCACGATCGTCGTCCCCCTCCTCCTTCCTGACCGCCGCCTGGGCTGGGCCAGGCTGGAGCGCCGCGTTCTCCGCCGTCGGAAGCAAAGGCTGATGCTGCTGAGACTGTTCTGCAGCAGCCGCTCTGTCTGAGTGTGCGGCCGAGGATGGAGACGCACCATATGGAATGGTGGAGGCTGCAGCTGATGCTGGGCCCGGGTAGTGCTGGGTGGTCGCAGGCGAGACCGCGGCCGTAGGAGCAGCGGGGGGAGCGGACATTTCTATCCCCTCTCCCTGGGCCCCGGCTCCGAGAGCGGCAGATCCCGCGTTGCTCGTAGTCGCGTCCTGTGCGAAGCGGCCCCTCTTCTCTGGAGCGGCCTCTTGCTGTGGAGGAGTGCGGGTCTCCTTTCGTCTTGGGGCTCCCACCAGATCCCAAGCGTTTGCTTGAGATCCCATCGCTGACCATGGAAGTGGCACAAGTGGTCTGGTGGCTGTAGTCGTGCCTGCGATCGGTGTCGCCTTCGGCCCCAGTGGCGAGCGAGACCTCGGTGTTGCCGCTGTCTGTGCTGGAGGCTGCGGGGGGGGAGGTGGCGTTCCACCGCCTTGCAACGCCGTCTCCATAGGCGTAGGTGGTGATGGCAACCGCGGCGATCGAGAGCGCGGAGCGGCTGCAATCTTGGCTGCTGCTGGGGGCGCTGGTGGCGCTGGCGGTGGTGGAGGGGTTCGCATGGCCCCCAACATTAGCGAAGATGCCGTTGTCCATGGAGATCGCGACCTTGTACCTCTCCGGCTGCTGGTGGAGCCGGCGGCGGAGGCGGAGTAGGAGGAAACTGGGTGTCTGGTGACATGTGTTTCGGTTCGCTTCCACCTGGCGTAGATCTTGATCGTGTCATGGGCTGCCGTACTCTGCCGCCTCCTCCTCCTGGCGGAGCTGGCGGCGGCGGAGGCGTCGCCAAGATCGCGTCGAGCGACGACTGCTGCGAGGCCGGCGTCCGCGACCGCGTGGATGGAGCAAATACTGGTGTCGATGTGTTGCGGCCTGCTCCGCCCTCTGGCGGTGAGGGAGGCGGAGCTGGAGTCTTGATCACAACATCCAGTATGGGACTTGACCCTCATCTTGTGCGTCCGTCGGTCGGGGCCGGGACCTGCTCGCATCAAACCTTGGAGGTGGTGGGGGTGGAGTGAAGAGAGGTCCAATCGGCGCAGGTTCCGGTGCCTTCGGCGCTGGCGTCGGCGCTCTAGGTTTCGGCATCGGTGCCCTCTGCGTCGACGTCGGTACTCGTGGTGTTGGTGTCGGTGGTCGTGGTGCTGGCGTCGATGCTCGTGGTGCTGGCGTCGGTGCTCGTGGTGCTGGCGTCGGTGCTCGTGGCGCTGGCGTCGATGCTCCTGGTGCTGGGGGCGTCGGTGCACCAGGCGGTCCTAGCGAACCGCTCGGGGGAGCAGCAGTTGTACGGAATGGAGGCTCGCCCTTTCTACTCACCTGGCTGCTCCCAGCCATCAGGCGCATGCCAGGATACCGTCTGATCAGGCCTTCCGTATCCTCGGGCTTCGCCCCCGAGAACTGCACGACGCAATAGCCCCTCCAAGAGGCCTCCCCGGAGTGGATGGCCGGGTCGTTGCTGACCAAGTTCTTGACGTCGATGCTCCTGTCGAGGTCGCCGTCCGCACTGTCGAACACCATGGGGGGATTGTCCTCGCCCCCGCCTTGGAGCGTCGAGTGCCAGATCCACAGCTCACTATAACTGAAGTTCAAGAGCGGCTGTAGGGAGGACGCTCCCCGCGACAGTCTCACAGTGGTGCACTCTGCAATGCGGACCACCGTAGATGCCACAAAGAGGCCTGCTTCCAAGACTTGGTGTCCTGACTTCGTCTGGCTGGCCTTCGTCAGATGCCAGCTGGGGTTGCGTGTGTCGCTGTGGTGCACGAGTCCGTACACTTTCACCGCCTTGAGGTTGAGTTTCTCGCGCGCGTCGCGCAATGCGCTGCTTCTGGCCGACCGAGAAGATTAAGTGCGCCACGTGCTCCCGCACCTCTTGGCCACGTCGGTCAAGGGTCCTGCCCTAATAACGCACCGTCACAGCGTTCTCGTCGTGCTGGATCGTCTTGACCACCGCTGGCCCCCGCCAGCCGCTCACGTCCTTGGACGACGGCTCGAACCAGATGTCGACCTGTTGTCCGACCTTCAACTTCGCGAGTGCCAGAGCAGGCCGCGCCCTGTGGTGGCCCGCTCGTCGCAGGCGGTCTTTTGCCGTGTGATCCACGATCTTGGCCGCGGCGATCTCTCTGATTCGCGCTTGACTGCGAGCCGGCGTCTCGCCGCGAGGAAGTCGATCATCACGTTCCGCCTCTGTCGCGCCGTCGAAGGTGGGGAGGGGGGCGGGCGTCCTGCCGCACAAGGCTTGGTACGCCGCACTCCCATCGGCGTTCACCAAGGCATTGTGCGCGAATGTGACGGTCGCCAGCGTCTGCTCTACAGGGGCATAAATGCCCTCTGTCTGCATCTGGCCTTCAGTGGAGTGGAAGGTTTTGCGTTGGATCTGTTGGTGCCGTTCTGCAATCCAAGCTTTCGAACCGGGAGGCCGGCACTTGAGCTGGATACGGTTCGCCTCCGCCCAATCCGCCACTGCTCTGCCCTTCATGCCAGATTCACCGTCTTGGACCAAGGTCCTCATAGGCCCGCGCATGGTCACCCATAACTCACTGATGCGGGTGCACAGCGTGATCTCCTCCTTGTCCTTGAGGGCGCCGTTCGCCGACCACCGCGCGCAGGCGTCAATGAGGTGCATGGTGGTTCGCTGGAGTTGTGGCCTGTCGATGAGGCTGTGAAGAAACCGCAGGTCCATCTGGATTTCGTAGTTAAAAACCGTGATGAGGCGTGTGGTAGTGACCGTGGCTGTTGTAGGAACTTGCCAGTTTCTGCATACATCGCGACCTTGCACCACTCCAGGGACTTCTCCTACCGCGCGTGCTGGCACGCCGGCTGCTCGCAGGAGTGCTTGCATGTGCATGGGTGCAAGGCGGTACCATCTGATGTGTAGTCGTTGAATGGCTAGTTTCCTCAACTCCTCGTCGTCAGACTTGAGTCTGACCATCACGCGTGAGACGTCATCGGTTCGTCAGTCTTCCTTGCCTCCTGTGCCTTCTTGCGTCTCGGCGTCAGCTTTGCCCGGGCGCGCAATCCCTGCGTCGGACCGAGTTTTGCGAACTTTCGGGCCCAACGGCTCGCCCAGCTCGCCCGGCATCAACTCCTCCCCCTTCGCAGAGGGAGGGCCGACCTCAAGCGGCTGCTCGAGGGAAGTGGTTCGCCAGCAGGTGCGAGCAGAGGTCCGGAACGCTGCTGGAGGCTGCAGCGTGCACATTTCTATACACGTCGCTGCTGGCCCCAGGCACATTTCCATGCCCGGCGCCACCTCCTCCGGAAGAGTCTGGGCGGCCATCTTCTGCATTAGAACCACCCGCGGCAATAGCTGGAGGGCCGGCGAGGATTTCTCCAAGAGGCCCTGGGTCGTCCAGCTGCTCGTCGTCGGTCAAGCGTTTCCGCCGCTCTGCTCCTCCCACCGCTCGGCTGCCCGGATCTCTGACTGGTCCGCCCCGGCGCTTGCGTCCATCCCGATAGCGAGTCTCGGGGGCAAGGCGCTCTCCAACCACTTCTGCGCGGCCCAGGTCTGAGGAGTCCTTTCCGGCCAAGCAAGCGGGGCACTTGATGGCGTCAGTGGGCCGGTCGTGGTAACGACACAAACCTGGAGGCTCAGATCTGCGGGTGCGCAAGGGGTGGTGCCAAATTTTGTGTTCCCGGCACCCGTCGCAATCAAGGACAGTGCCCTCTGGCCACTTCCTGAAGGCAGGATGCGCCTCGAAGTCTCCATTGACACAATCCCCGCAGCGTTCGAACCAGAATGCGGCGCCACGCGGATCGCTCATAGCGAGTGCCGTCCGGGCTTCGTCATCCATGAGAGGTTCAGCGTCGCTGCCACAATCGTCGAAGTGCTGCTCTTGTGTCATAGGTTTCTTCTTTCGCATGGCCTTCACCTCTTCGGGCGTTTTGTTGCGTTCTAGTTGTGCGCGTTTGCTCTTGGCTCTGACGTGTGAGTCTGTCGAGTAGGCTGCTTGTGAGTGTGTGTCAAGGTCGTGGGTGGAGGTTGCTTTGTCTGCTGCGTTGGTGTTCGGTGGAGGTTGCGTCGCTAGCAACGTTGCCATTGCCTGCGGTGCAACTTCGTCCCTTGGCTGTGAGGGAGGTGCATCAACTTGGTAAGTCTGGACCTCTGCGCCTGTGAAGGTCACAGACTCGTGCTGCGGTGGTTGTGGCTGCTCTGTGGTGTGCTGCTGTTTCACGTAGTCTCTGGCGCCTGCTTTGTCTCGAAGCTGTCGTTAGGTGCGGTGCCAGTCGCGGCTGGGAGGTTTTATGTCGTTGGGTCTGAGTATGTTGAAGTGGGTCATGATCTTTTCCACGAACTGCTCGTATGCAATGCCGTCGTTCGCCACGTAGCTGGAACTCTGGCGCTGACAGACACAAGGCATGTCTGGCCAGGGCTTGTTCGACATCACCAGGTGCTCGCCGCAAATCACCGTCTTGTCGTCTTTGCCTCCTGCGATGCCCAACGCGCACCAGTGCACGCGAGAAGGGCGTCCCAAGAGGCCGCCGATGCGGCTAGCTCCTGCGAAGAGCTCGTCTCGCACTGGAACGTCGCAGGCCTTCGCTTCCAGAACAACGTCTCCTCCTTGCTTCAGCTGCTCGTGTACCATGCCGGCGAAGAACTCCAAGGCAGTGCTGATGTGCGGTCTTCTGCCAGGCTCTTGAAGCAGGTGTGACCACTGGATCCAAACCAGGGTCGGCCGGTCAAGGTGGATAGCTTGAAGCATAGCGCAGGCATCAGGTGACGTCTGGCGACGCTGGAAGTTCAGCATGGGGCATGTTCGACGTGGCTGAAGATCACATTTGCCAAGGGTCATTTTGATTGTCGCCAACCTTTCTCCCACAAGGAAAATCATCGGACACTTACGTTCATGGTTAAGGCTGGCGTTGTCTGCTAGTGGTAGTGGGGTAAGGGGCTTGGGTGTGGGTTGTGGTGCCAAACGCAATGCCGGGGAACCGACACGGTTGGCTGCCGGCGGCCTTGTGGTTGGAGCGCTCGAGCACCGGCCGTCCGAAGTGCTCGGCGTCTGTGGTGTTTGTCAAGAGTCGGCGACCCCCTTGTCAGCCGAGACGGCGAACGCCTCGGTGACTTCGTCGCCTTTCTTCTTCAGCTTGTGCCACCGGGAGATTGGAATCATCCAATGGCCGGGGCGTGCTTTCTTGCACTCGATCGCCCGCGTGCCCTTCGGCCAGATGATCTGGTCGTCTGTGCCCTCGGGAAGCATGTGCAATCGTCCCGTGCGGGTGCCCACGTACGCGTTGCGCGCTGCCATGGGGCCCAGGCCGTAGAGGGCGGGGACTTCGGCACCCTCATCTTCCAGGACGGGCGCCGAGTAGGAGATCAAATCGCCTTCGCCCACCACTCCGTGAATGGTGGCCGCGCGGCGTGCTATCTGAGCACCCTTGCCCACGCCACCCATCCGCCCCGGCTGGTCCAGCGTCGCCCAGGTGGTCTTGTAGCCGCGCCGCTGTGCCGTGTGCGACTGCCGGTCTACAAGGCTCCTGCCTGTCAGGTTCCTGCGGGCTCCGGTGTCCACCAGGAGGCCGTCTTCCTCGTCGCTGATATTGGCCTCGGTGTTGTTGTGCGCACTCTGGTGCTCAAGGTCATTCTGCGCGTCCTCGTCCCGCTCGAAGACCGGGCAGTGCTTGTCGCGCTGCTTCCAGGGGTCGTTTGCTACCAGCGGGTCTTCCACGGCACTGTCTTGCCACCGAGGGGGCACGGCAGGAACTGTCGGGGCAGAACTGCTCGCCTGAGAAGAGAAGCTGAACAATGGCCCCGGGCTCGGCTGAGGAGCTGCTGGCTGGTGGTGGCACAGCGCGCAGCTGGACATTCGGCACCGTCCTTTCTCCCAGTGTCGGCACGGAGTGCAACTGCCCCTCCTCCTCGCTGCTTGTCCGCACGCTCCTGTTGCAGGTGCTCTCCGGTCAGGCCGTCCTGCTTCTGGGAGCGGCGGAGGCGGCGCCACTGAGGACGCGGCAGCAAGCGAGGGAGCCGCGTGAGAGGCGTCTGACGGCGTCAAGCGAAAACGCTGTGCACTGTCAGCTGGAGTCCCGGGGACTGGTTTGACAACAGCTTGTGCGCGTTGTTCTGCTGTGGGCCACTTTTGCTTGGTCGTCGTCGTCGCGGTTGTTGGGCGTTGTGGTCCCTGTTCAAGCGCGTGACTCTGCTGCGTGTGCGCTGGTGCTGGGATCGCCGTCGTAGGTGGGGAACCTGGCAGCGATGGAAGAGCTGAGGCTAGAAGCTTGTTCACGTACTCAACATCTTCGTCCCTTGGCGGTGTCTTGGCGTGTTTCGCGGTCGTCGCTGCTGGCGGCGCGCTGGCAGCGTGCGCATGCGAGGCCCATGTTGCGGCAGGACTGCCAACGCTATTGCTGGAGGCTGCAGCGCGCGCATTTCTACGCGCGCTGCTGCTGGCACCGGGCACATTTCTATGCCCAGCGCCACCTCCAGAAGGCACCTGTGCCTGGGAAGGAACATTTCTATTCCCATCAGGCCTCAAGTTCCTTCTGGGCGCGGTGATCGCACACCCGTGGATGCTGTCTTGGACCAGCACCGTAACTCCGCTGCACGCGATGACGACGCCCTGGCTCACGTACTGAACCGCGCTGCCCACCGGTGGCAGCTCTGCGGCTGCCGAGGAGGCTGCTGGGGCCGTTGGCGCCCAGAAGGGCTGCGCAACTAGCTGCTGCGGCGGCTGAGGCTGCAGCGGCTGCGCGGGCGTAAGCCTCTGTTGCAGCGCCTGTACGACGGCACTGTCCTGCGCCAAGGGGCCGCGGTGCACATTTCTATGCCCCTGCCCAAAAGGTGCACCAACAACACCATCATCATCATCACCGTGTCTGTCCTCCTCCTCTCCCTCCTCCGTCTAAGACATTCTCGTCGTCGCTGGCCCAAGCTGCAAGTTGTCTGCGAAAGCGAGAGCGGCTGGCAGGGCTGCGGCTGTCTTCTCGGGGCTGTGAGCGGAGGTCTGGGCTGCGCCGGCGGACTCTTCTCTGCGACCAGAAGCATTGAGTGCTTGCTCGTGGTTCTCCGCGTCGTTGTCCGTCGCTGTCTCCTTCCTCGTCCCTGACGCCTCACCTCCGCCTCCTCCTCCAACGCCCTGCTCCTCCCTGATCATGAAGCTCCTCCGTGCCCAGGGTGAAGGGTGCCTCCTCTTCCTTCTCCTCCTCCTCCTCGTGCTGGTGCGCCTCGTCCTCCGTGGTGAAGAACGTTTTGCGCGGCTGCTTGCAGTCCGCGGCCAGGCGCCCTGGCTGGCCGCAGTTGTAGCAGAGGTTGTCCGGGCTCTTGCACTCGGCAGCCATGTGGCCTGGCATGCCGCAGCGGTAGCACATCGCGACCTTGGGGGTGCCACGCGCGACGCGGCCCTTGTTGTAGCCGCGGGACCGGCCCTCGAAGAAGGCCTTGATGTCCAGCTCTGGCACGTGGTCCATGCTCACGAAGGTCCGGCCCACGAAGAACCCGCGCCTCGGATGGCCGCCGGCGGCGCGGGCAGGGCCGCGCTTGGTGCAGCGCTCGGCGCCTACGCGGCGCTGCTTGGTCTTGTGCTTGGGAGCGAACCGGCCAGCCGCAGCGCGATGCCGGCGCTCTGCCGTCCGCGCAGCCCACCGCGCCTGGGTCAGGTAGAGGGGGTCGTCTGCGGCCGCGCTCTGTTCCGCCTCCAGGCGGTCGGCCGGCCACGGGTCCTCGGCGGCCCCCCGCCCCCACCACTCGGCGTCGGTGCTCCAGCATGTCTCGCCGTCGTCGTCGCCCGCCGCATGGCCGAGGTCGAGGAAGACGTCCTGGCCCGCCTCGCTGCTGTGACCGTTTCCGATCGCAGCGCGCTGGGCGGGGCGAGCTGTCGCACCGTCGGTGCTGCCGGCCGCTATGGCCAGGCGCAGCGGCAGCGGGCCCTCGTCGGCGTCCGCGAAATACACGCCGGGCGCCCCAGCCCTGCCTGGCTGGAAGGTCGACGCGTTCTCCTCGATCGCTCGGTCTCGGAGAAGCCTTGCCTTGACCAGCTGGTACTCCTGTTCGGTTCTGGGCAGCCTGCGGTCGCACTCGCGCAGGATCTCCGCCCATTTCCGCGCTGGCAGGCGCAGGAGCAAGAGGAGCATCCACGTCCGGAAAGGAACCGAAATCCCTAGCTCAGCGCGCTGGTTCGCACGGTCCAAGAGGAGGTCGAACCTCAGGAACATGCTCCGCAGGTCCTCGTCGCGGCTCGGCGTGAACTTGAAAAAGTCCAGCCCTGTGCGAAGCATCCGCGCCTCTGGGTCAGGAGGAAACTTGGCGAGCGGCACCGCCAAGAGAACATCCACCCCTGTCCACGCCGCGGCGCCCCGCCCGTCACCGAGGTCCAACGCGGCGCCGTGCTGCAGGATCTCCACCGAGACCTCGTCTGCGATGGTCCGCGCCGTCGTGCCGAGGGCGAGGCTCAGCATGGGCCCTTGGCGCTCCACGCTGAACTTGGTGGCTGCCATCCACCGTCGTACGTCCCGCGTCCATTCGGTGATGGTGTACGGATACGCCGCGTCGTGTTCTAGCTCTGGGCTCCACCATGGCGAGGTCTCTGTGGACGCCACGGCTGTGCCTTGTCTGTAATGGTGAAGCGCCGCGCCGAAGATGTGAGGCTGCCGCCTCTCGCTCCCGGCGCGCACGGCCAGAGCGCCCCCTGCGCTCGCCATGCTTCTGTCGCCCTGCTGGCCGTTCAGGCGGCGTCCGGCTGCGCCGCGGCGGCGGCGTCAAGGTGCGCCTCGGCGGCGTCTCAAGCTCCGCCTGCAGCTCGTCGTCCGGCTTCTCGTCCGGCGACCAATCGAGCTCCTCCTCAGCCGGCTTCTCTTCCACCTCGGCCTTGAAGACCAAGGGGGAGTTGCCGCGAAGTCGCACTGACCGGCGGCAGGCCTCGCTGTGAGGCTCCCAAGGCGGACAAGAGCACGTGCGCGTGGCACGTTCGTGTTCCACCTCGAAGCGCCGAGCTACCCGCCGCGCCTCTGCGTCAACAGAGTACGAGTGGTGGTGCCGGCGCTTCTTGGGGCCTTGCGGCCCCCCGCAAGGGGTAGTAGTCGAAGTTCGCGCAGTGGTAGACGTTGTGCTGGGCACTTTTCAATGCCCAGCCTGGCCGCAGAGCGCCGGAGCGCTCCGCTACCAGAGTGGAAGCGCCAGCGGGCGCTTCTGGGAGAAGATCTCGAGGAAGATCTTGAAGAAGAAGGGGATGTAGAACAAGAATGGGGAAATAAGATGTGAGAGTAAATGGGATAAGAGATTGTATTTGCAGTGGGGCGGATGCCTTTGCTACACTCCAGAAGAGCGGTTTGCACTCGAGGCTCGAAAACGCGGCGGCGCGCGGGAGGAAGGTGCCAAGCACTGTAATGAGGTGTCGGGGCTGCAGAACTCCCAAACTACTGGAGGAGGGGCGAGGAGGAGGAGGAGGAGGACGACGAGGGGCGAGGAGGAGGAGGAGGAGGAGGAGGAGGAGGAGGAGAGGGAACGCGGGGAGCTGGCTCTTCAAAACGAAAACCCAACGCCACAGGAGTGTTGGGAGAAACATGCGCGCGGCCTGCCGTTTGCACGCGGGGCCGCCGGGACCCGCCTGCGGCGCGTCGAAGCGAGGCCGATGCCCCAACCGCCGCCCGACAGAGAGCCTGGGCGCCCAAGGCTAGCCGGGGCCCTGCCCAAGGCCGCAGGAGGGCAGAACCGCGGGCGCGGTGTCCAGGCGGCCGGCCAGCTGTGCGACCGCTCCTGGACAGATCGGCGCTCTGCTCGCCCAGGCTGGCCCTCGCTGGCGGCGGGACGAAGCGAGCAGGCGCCTGCGCGTCGAGGCCGACCTTCTTCGCACAGGAGCGGCGCCGCACAGGTGAGCCCCCGAAGCTGGCTTCATCGCGGGGGCTGCCGAAGTTGGCCGAAGCCTGACCCGCTGCTGTCATCGTGCCACCTGGAGGAACAAGAAACCAAGGCGCTTTTCCGGCAACGGCTAGCCTGGGCCACGAACAGATTCCCCGAACCGTATCTGAGGAGCGGCCCGAAAACCAAAGCCCGTCCTGAACCCAAAAGGGTCTGTGTTCCAGCGTCTTGGCTGCATAAGGCCCGAGTTCTCGATGGTGCCGCTACCATGTGAGCTCCGCTGAAGTAGATGCCGCCTTGACGAAGCCCGCTCGTCGAGCCCGAAGCGAGACAGAGTCGCGCGCCTTGCCGAACGATCGGGCCTACTGTAGCAGCACCGCCCGAGGCTCCGTCTCCTTTAGGGCGACGAAATCTATGCATATCCACTGCTCCCTGGCCGAGCGCATCCTGAACCCAGCAGCGGTGTATACGCCAGGCCCTCCTGGCTTGGCCATGAGGGCCCATACACAGCTCATGGGTTCAGGATGGGCTCAGGAAACAATGGATACGTAGAGATTTCGTCGCCCGATGCTAGCCGAAGCGAAGCCGATCCACGACCCTGGGCCCCGATTTCCACGCACTACAGCTGCAAGCGACCGCTTGGATGCGCCCGCTGCCGTCCACGGACTCCATGGGCCGAGAGTCCTTCGAGGCACTCGCGGGCCCAGGGGGCGCCTCCGGTCATGCGGCACACGAGGCCGCCCCAAGCCGTGCAGTCCCCAGAAATGTCAGATTGGCTCAGGCGGCCCTTCCACTTGCCATCGCTCGAACGTCCATTCCCCGTGCATGTTTCGGTGTCGAGCGAGGAATTCCTCGCCAGATGACCCAAAGGACTCCTCGATGGTCCTCGCCGAGGAAAAATGCACACGTCCGAGCGATGCCAAGACCAGTGCGCCCCTCACCAAGTGCGGAGAGCAAGGGGCCGAACTCGAGAGGCAACCTCCGGAGTCCGCTCGCGAAGATCCTTGGCCTCGGCTGCTGGCCCAACGGCTGCCGCCGAAGCTCCGTCACGTTGGCCCCGCTTGACTGCGAAGCCGCTGCAACCGCAGGGCTCGCGGGTGCGTCTCGGCTGCCGAAGCGTCATTGGCGCAGCGGCGCTTGCCTACCAACCGCCTTGCCATGGCCTCCAGTTCCTGCTTAAACTCCTGAGCCTGCCGCGCCGATCATGTCAGTTACCGCCGAATTGACCTGTGTCTGAAGGGTGGCAAGCAGGAGGAGGAGGAGGAGGAGGAGGAGGAGGAGGAGGAGGAGGACCATTAGCAGGAGCAGGACTACAAGAGATGGGAAAAGGGCGAGGGAGAGAAGGACGAGGAGGAAGGACAGCAGCAGGAGCAAGAGGAGGCGAGGCCGACGAGGACGAGGAGCGATGAGGGTCATCAGAGAAGGGGGACGAGAAGAACGAGGAGAAGGAGGATAACGAGGAGAGGGATGAGAGCGAGGAGAAGGAGAAGGAGGAGGAGAACGAGGAGGAGGAGGAGGAAGACAACGGGAGGAGGGGGTGGCTCCTCGCTTCTCACTCCCTCCTCCCCCTCCCCCTCCCCCTCCTCCTGCTCCTCCTCCTCCTCCTCCTCCTCCTCCTCCGCACTGCTGCTCCTCCTCCTCCCCCTCTCCCTCCTCCTTCCTTCCTTCCTTCCTTCCTTCCTTCCTTCCTTCCTCCTCCCTCCCTCCCTCCCTCCCTCCCTCCCTCCCTCCCTCCCCCCTCCCCCTCCCTCCCTCCCTCCCTCCCTCCCTCCCTCCCTCCCTCCCTCCCTCCCTCCCTCCTCCCTCCCTCCCTCCCTCCCTCCCTCCCTCCCCCCTCCCTCCTCCCTCCTCCCTCCCTCCCCTCCCTCCTCCCTCCTCCTCTCTCCTCCCTCCCTCCCCTCCTCCTCCCCTCCTCCTCCTCCTCCTCCTCCTCCTCCTCCTCCTCCCTCCTCCTCCTCCTCCTCCTCCCTCCTCCTCCTCCTCCTCCTCCTCCTCCCTGCTGCTCCTCCCTCCTCCCTCCCTCCCTGCCTACCTCCCTCCTCCCTCCTCCTCCCTCCTCCCGAGAGGGGGAGGTGGCCCGACCCCCCCGGTGCCGAGCCGCTCCCAGCCGCTCCTCGCTCTCCAGGGGCGTGTAGAGCAGGCCCAGCGCGGAGTGGGCCCTGGAGAAGCTGAGGCAGCTGCCGTCTGTGAAGCACAGCTGCCAGCCCTGGGGGAGGGGGGGGGAATTCTTCGGGTTCGAGGGTCGAGGTTCGCGGGCTGTTCTTGGCGGCGAGCGAGGGGGAGAAGCGAGAGGGAAAAGGCATTCTCAAGCCTTCCCCGAAGACACGTAAAACCTCTCAGAAGGCCCGAGGGCTTCTGAGAAGCCCCGCCGCCTCCTGAGAAAGCCTTTTCCTTCTCACGTCCCCCCTCGCTTGCGGCCGACTGGGGGGAGAGGGGAATTCTTCGGGTTCGAGTTTCGAGGTTCGCGGACTTCTTGGTCGGTTCGCCGCGGCCTTCCGGTCTCAGGATGACTTCCCGCAACTGCGCCTCGCCGCGAGCGTGCCGGGGGTGCACGGATCGTCCCAATGGCCGACGTGGAGTCGAGAGATGATACGAAAACCATGGGACAACGTGACAGGAGGGACAGGCTCAGAATACGTTCTAGGAATTCTGGGGTATCTAGCGGCCCTCGTATCGTCGAGCCCGCGCGGGACCGCAGGGAATATTAGAATCCAAGGAAGCCGTGGAGAGCGGAGCTCTCCAGATTGGACATTGTGAGCAATCTTTTGGGGGAAAAGGCCTGTGAGCTCTGGGCGCTCTTTGGCGCTTCGGGGGGTCGCGCCTTGGGGGGATCACTGCAACACATTGCACGTTTTGTTCAACATGTTGGGCCCTGGAGGGAAATCACGATCTGGTCCTGGGAACCCTCCAGGGTCAGGACTGCCACATACACCGCCAAGAGGCTCACAAAACGCCTCCAGAGGCGCTCAAGAGGCATCTGGAAGCCTCGAGGAGGCGCAGGAGAGGCTCTGGAGAGACCTCCAAGAGGCCCCGAAAGGCCTCCAAGAGGCGCCCGAGAGGCACCCGAGAGACCCCAGCAGGCATACAAGAAGACTCTGGCCCACAATACAGACGAAATGGCGGGAATGACAGACGGCAACTAGATAGCAAGTTTCATCAAACCAACGTGTGATGGGAGGAGTAGTGTGGCAGAAAAAGAAGAGTGACAAGGACGACGAGGAGACATCAACCGAGTACCCCGTAACCCTCCATGTGGAAAGTTCGAACGGGCCGTGTGTGTGCCTGCTTTACGATTCTGGCCCAATCGCCCTTCACAATCTTCGACCTTCAGTGATCACAGGCTGCACAAACATGCTGGTGAGTCTAGAATCGCTGTAGAAATAGTCGCTAATCTTCCGTATCTGCAATTAATTAGAGATCTGGTCTTACCAGGGCGTGCGATAGTTAAGTATTGACAGAAAGAAACTCATATAATCATCAAGCACTTCGATGTTGGTTTCCCGTCGCGGCTCTCGGCCACTAGACGGCTCCAAGACGGCCGATGACGTCCAAAGGCAGATGAATTACCTCCGAATACCAGCCAAAGACGGCCCAACGACTTCCCAAAGACTCCAAGGCGTCCCCATGATGCCCCTGAGTCCCAAAAGAGCCCATAGAAGACGTCCAAGGAGTCTTGCAGCAAGTCCCGAAGGGACCCAAACAAACAACAAGCACATGAGCCTCATATCTTTCCAAAAGCTGTTCGGTTTCAGATCGCTTCGGGAAAGCTGCACGCCCCAAGACTGCCCGAGAAGCCCCTAAGAAGCCTCAGACCGATCCAACAGAGCTCCAAGACGGTCCCAAGATCCGCGTTTCAACCGAACCTCGCCTGGAAAACTCCGTCGAAACATCGCACACAGAGCAGGCTCGAAAACCCCACGGGGCCCAACTGGACATCACGAGGGAAGCGACTCGTAGACTCCAAATACGCCCCCAGGAAGCTTCCAATATGCCGTAGGAGGACGAAGAGAATAACAAGGCTGCCGACAAGGAGGGTATGTTTAGATCCGCGCCAGTCAAGACAGGGTGCCGAAGCAGAGCGAGTCTTAAAATCACCCACTCCCTGCTGTACTGTTAAATCTCATGGCGACGGGAACGTCCACGACTCATGATATTGACTGCCGCGTACGGGCCTGCGCTGGCCCGGTGTGGCCCGCGCCCACAACGGCGTGTATGCGCCAGGGCACATCGCGAAGCGACTTCGAAAAGTGACGACGGACATTGAAAACGCTCGTTCGCCCCCCGCATGAGACTCTACATTTGGAGGCGGCAGGCGGGTCTGAACTGGTTGGGACACCAGGGAATAAGTCAGGAAGGAGGGGAGGGATGAAGCCAAATCCGCTCAAAATCGGTCCCGGGATCCCTCCCAGGGTCCCTCTGCAGTTTTTCACCCCAGGTCCACGTTTCACAGCCCCGCGGCCCAAGAGCGGCCCCTGGAGGCCGAAAAGGGCAAACAAAAACCTTCCCGAACGGAAAACCTTTTCGTCGTCGTCGCCGTCGTCGGCGTCGTCGTCGTCCTCGTCGTCGTCAACGTCGTCGTCGTCGTTGTCGTCGTCGTCGTCGTCGTGCTCGTCGTCGTCGTCGCCGCCGTCGTCATCGTCGTCGTCGTTGAACATGCCCGCCCTCCCTGCAGGCCGGAACCGGTACTGGGCCATCTCAGACCCTCGGACGGCTCCAAAGTTAGCCCTCCGCATGAGACTCTGCATGCTGTGCTGCTGCGCTGGCACGGTAGCAGGAACTACCGCAGGCAGCAGCACTCGTGTGCACTTCTTTTCTTGTCGCAGCGGCGGGGATCCACATCGCGTTCGAAGGCAGCCGAGGGATGCAACGGGGCCGAATGGGACACAGCAGGCAAAAGGGAAGACGGAACGCGCGGGATAGGGAGATTAGCATGGGGGAACGGGTCCTGAAGGAAACGTGTCCTGGACCCTGGGGCCTTCCCCTAGGACCAGTTGTCCGTCCTGGGGACCGTGGAGAGCCCTGGGAACCCAAAAACGGCGAAAAACCGCAGGACCCGCTTCTCTCAGGACCCGCTTCCCCCGGTGCGAGGAGAGGAGCACGCGCAGAGCATGAACTTCTGGGACGTGTGTGCCGCAGCAGCACCTTCAAGGTCTTCTACCTCAAACTGGTGGCCCCGCTGCTTAGACGCAACTGCATGTTCTTCCTCGGCACACCCGCGCTAGCCTTCACGGGCTGATCGGGCCCCGCTTCCTCTTCTCGCTTTCGTTTATCTTTCGCTCCCGTACCTCGAGTCGACTCCGATGCATCCCACCGCTCGCTTTGACCGGCGCCTGACCGTCGTGCACCACCTGGGGCGCCCGCGGACTTCAAAGTGTGTGGGAGCACAGGTGTGCACAGACGTGGAGGGAACTACTAATGCCCCCCGAGGATTTCCGCGGGCCCCCAAGAGAAGACCCCCCCCTAGAGGCACTCAGGCAGAGCCCCCCCCAAAAAGGCCCCAAAAATGTTCAAAAATCGCCTCGAACTTAAAACATCGATGCTCGCACCTTGAGCCTCGAGCCTCGAACCCCGACGAGGAAGAGAGAGAAAGAAAGAGATCAGGAGCATCGGCGGCACCAGTCGGGGATCTACTGACCCGGGTCAATCCAGACAAGTGTCAGTCAGGCCTTGCAGTATTCTGCAGGATCCTGCAGCATCCTGCGCCCAAACCTGGGTCAGTGCGCCCCTGGCCCTGAAGGATCCTGCAAGATGCAGCGTCCTGACTGACCCCCGTTTGCATTGACCCCCGTCTCTTGAGCCCAAATTTTGGTCGGTTCGCCGCGGCTCTCTGGCATCGGGGTGACTTCCCGCAGCTGCGCCTCGCCGCGAGCGTGCCAAGGGTGTGCGGATCGTCCCAACGATGGCTGGGGAGTCGAGCGGTGATACGAAAACCATGGGGCAACGTGATAGGAGGGGAAGCCTCAGGACACGCCCCAGGAATTCTGGAGCCCTCATATTGTCGAGCCCGCGTGGGGCAGCAGCCGCACCCTTCGGCGGCGCCGGGCAGCGGCATCGGCATGCCGAGGCAGCAGCGGAGAGCGCGGCCAAGGCCTCCTTCTCGGCAAAGTGTGGCGCTGCAGCCAGCGCCTCCGTGGCCTGGCCGAGCGGCGTCCCCCTCCCGCCCGCAGCAAGGCACGAAGATGCGGAGGCGCATGGTACCCTGGAGTACCGTGCTGCAGTTCCGCTGCACTGTGCAAGTCGACGGCGAGCCTGGGGGAGAGGTGAGAAGGAGAAGGCCTTCTCGGAAGGCTTGGAACTCCCCCGGCCTTCTGCGAAGGGTTCTAGACCTTCCCCGAAGGCACAGAGCACTCCTCGGAAGGCCAAAGGGCTTCTGAGACGTCCCGCCGCCGTCTCAGAAGGCCTTCTGGCCTTCTCCTTTCACTTCCTCCTTTGCTCGCCGCCGAACAAATCAAATCAGCATCCTGCACGAATGTTGAAAGTCGGAAGCTCGTGAGCCTCGGGACCAAGCAGAGATTGGGCGCTAAATGGTTTACTGGGAGCTGGTGGCTCCTGGATTACTATTTTGAAAAGTCCCGAATATCCTTGATACTTGCTGGACCCTGTCACAGTTGGCCATAGCTTTGCACTCGACAGTGATGACGTCGCTCCCTCCGAGCTGTTACGCCGCTTCCTACTCCGATTTCGATCAGCGCCGCTTGCAATCCAACCCCGGTTGAGCCTCCTGCCCGCATCCCCCGAATATTCTGGCGAACCCATAAAACTATGAGTTGGACTCACATTCGTGGCAGTACTGCGACCTGTTGAACAACACCGCCGCTCTTGCACATTTCGCCGTTGAGGACCAGCCGATGCTTCGCCGCTGCGGTGGAGGCGGAAAGAGGGTGTTGGGCACCTCATTTGTAGTCACTAGCCCCGCTCCCTACGAAGCAGTAGTCATGCCCCCCCCCTCTGACGCATCGACCACACCATGCGTCCACCTGTTGCTCCAAGTCTCTAGGGGTGCTCCTTCCGCGCGGACATTGAAATACTGCCAGCACGCAGGGCTCCTGCTGAGGCCGTTGATGGACCCTCCCCAAGTCACCCCCCCCCCCACACATACAGCCACACCCCCCAAAGCGCGACGGCGGACAATTACGTACGCGTGGCAGCACGACCAGCGTCCTCGTTTCGTTTTGAACATGCGCGCCAAGTCTCAGACAGCACCGATACCTTATGAACCATGCCCTGATTCTGGCATAAGCCACGTTACCGCATGTGCGTGTTGAAAATAGTTGTGGACCTTCTCCTCCTCCTCCTACTCCCTTTTTCCTCCTCCTCCTCCTCATCATCATCATCCGCCTTCTTCTCCGCCTCATCCGCATCATCATAATCATCAGCGTCATCACCAGCATCGTCATCACCATCACCAGTACCATCATCATAATCATCATTATCATCATCATCATCGTCACCCTCATCAGCAACAGCATAATCGTCATCATTAACATCAGCATCAACATCAACACCAATCGCACCACCATCATCGGCATCACCGTCATCATCATCATCAGCATCACCATCATGATCATCATCTCATCATCATCACCTGCATACTCCTCGTCATCATCAGCAGCACCATCATAACAATCACCATCATCATCATCATCATCATCCTAACCCGCACAATCAGCATCGTCGTCATAACCATCATCGTCATCATCATCAGAATCATCAGCACCATCATCAACACCACCAACACCACCACCGTAATCATCATCATCATGGGGACCGGGAGCCAGGCGAGAAACGATTCCCACCTTTCTGAAGCGCTGGCGTGCCTGGTGCAATCTGTCTTCGAGAACACTACTCAGTCATCGCGATGAGACCACAGCGAGCGGAGGGTCCAAATACTGGGGCGGCCCTGGATGCACCGCCCGCCTCCGCTCGACGAAAAAGTTTTGTCTCTGCTACATCAGACATTGGGTGGCTGCGGGTGGAGGCCAAAAAGACTTCGGAGCTCGCGTGGCCGCGATCCCACACAGTGGGATTGATATTCTTTCAGGCATGCTGGCAGACGACCGACAAGCCGCTCTCTTACCCCATTCATGCGCGCGCACTCCCATGGGGACCGAGAGCCAGGCGAGAAACGATTTCCACCTTTCTGAGGCGCTGGCGTGCCTGGTGCAATCTGTCTTCGAGAACACTACTCAGTCATCGCGATGAGACCACAGCGAGCGGAGGGTCCAAATACTGGGGCGGCCCTGGATGCACCGCCCGCCTCCGCTCGACGAAAAAGTCCCAAAGCATCCCCAAAGCACCTGAGGATGCGACTCATGCTTGAAATAGTTTAGCTCGGATCGGGGCCACCAGCGCACGAGCCAGCGCACGATTGAGCTGTTGTGGGCAAGGCTGCGCAACCTGCGTCCACGGCGCTCCACTGGGCGCTGGGCCAGAAAATATTACATGCTTACGATCTGTCCGGCTGCAAACGCCGTTGGCGCCGCTACATTGGCGCGAAAGCCCCTGGAGGTCCTGGAAGGGAGCGCCCCCGCGCAAAAGGGTAGTGCGTTTCTTCCGGGGGGCCTCGAACTGACTAAAATCTACGGTCAACGTCGCCACGGGCGGGGGGGGGGCCAGGCGCTGGAACTCAGGAGTCTTAAACACGTAGCTAGCGCAAGGGTTTTCCAAAATCCAAGAGGCACCAACAGCGCTGCACTCGCGAATTATGGCCAGCGAGGCCCTACAACATCTGTTACCCTCCTTGCGTTTTTTCCTGTCTTTCAAGCTGACCCCCCCCCCTCGAAAACCCCATGGTCGGCGGGCAGAGCGGACGGGTGCGGCGCGGATGCGTGCCATGCTGAAGCTGCCACAGGGAGGCGCCAGCATCGCTGCTAGGCAGCGGCGCCTGCGCACGTCAGCCAGGAGCGGCTCCAGCACGCGGCTGGAGGTGAGGTCGCCATGCGAGCCGTGGGAGATCTCCCCGGTGCAAGCCTGGAAACCAAGTTGCCCCCCCAGACCCCTTGGAATCGCGTTTTTTTTTTTTTTTTTTTTTTTTTTTTTTTTTTTTTTTTTTTTTTTTTTTTTTTTTTTTTTTTTTTTTTTTTTTTTTTTTTTTTTTCTTCCGGGCGGCCGCTTGCGCCATGAAAAGAATCGCGCTTCGCCAAAAAAATCAAGACATTGAAACAATGGAAGCAGTAAGGGTGCCCACGGCACTCATAATATGGCACGGCCTGCTCGTGGAGGGGCGGGCGAATTCATTTCTGCAACGCGCGTGTATAGCAGTGCGGCATCATGATGCCGCTCACGCGCCAACGCCGCCTTCTGCAGTGTCAGGATCGACTCAAACACTTGGGAAGGGGTGGGACGAGGATCTATGCATATATATATATATATATATATATATATCGACGTATATGTAGACATATATATATATATATATATATGCATATATATATATATGTATATGTGACGCCCGCACTTTTCATCCGCATGCGTGTGGCGCGTAGTGCATAATGGCGCGCAGGCCATTCAGCCTGCGCTCTCTGCGCCGCTGAATCGCGCGCGAGGCGAGCGAGCCCTAATCAAAATTTGAGGGGCGAGAGATGAGAAGAAGAAACGTGCACCTCTCAACGCTATATATATATAATATAGATATACACACACAGATACACATCATGCGCAGGCATGCGCGCACGGAGATGACACTGCGCGATGCAACTCGAGGGGGGCGTGCTTTGCGGCCCCAGGGCCCAGGGCCGGGGCCAGGGCGGGGGGGGGGGGGGGGGAGCGCTCTTGAAACAAAAAAAAACCCGGAACAAAAAACGCGCAAGGGAAACCCGGGCACTGCGCGGACGGTAGCCGTTTCCGCAGAGCAAGCGACGGTTATTTCCGCGCAACTACGCTGCGCGATGATGCGGCCACGCGCGTCGACGAACTGGGTGGTCTTAGTCGATCGGAGAGAGGCAGAGATTCCGAGTGAGGAAGAGGTGGGGGGGGGTGGGCGTTATGTCCAAAACGCTGATGGTCACAATGTCGGCGACGCTCATCCGTGCGCATCACGTGGCGCTGCGTCTTGGGCGACATCCCGGGACCCCCCAGACCCCCGACGTCGTGATTTTTTCGCAACGTCGACCCCCGGAGGTCGGTCGCCCCCGAGGCCCAGTACTCGTGAGAGCCCCCAGAGGCCGAACATAGCGAAAAACCTCACGCTGTGATTTTTTCACGACGCCTGGAGGTCTGGGCGTCTGGAGGGCGGCCACATAATGGGCCCATCTCACGACGGCGGCCGCGAGGAGGAGGTGGGGGAGGATGAAGGCTCTTTCCAAAGCGCACGGTCGCAATCTCGCACTGCGCCCCCGGCGCAGTGCGCGAAGTTGCGCATGCGTTAGCCACTTGTCGGCGCACGTCCCCGCGTCAAGCCCTCGCTGCACGGATCGAACCGGATCGAGGGGGGAAGGGGGGCGAGAAATTGGCAGGCGCAGCGTGGGCGGCCCGACTGCGTTAACGCAGCGGCCAGCTTCACGCGCTAATTCTCCGAGAAGGGAAAGGAGAGGAAATTGCGATAGGAAGCGTGGATGTGGAGGTTGGTGGGGCGAGGGCGGCGGTTCCAATCGCAGCGTGGGCGAGGAGGGAGAGAGGCGGCCTGGGGGCCTGCAGCTCGCCCCGAGCAGTGCCGTGCCAGAGCGGCGGCTGCTATTCAGCCTGCGATCGCTCGCATTGGGAGTGGGGTGGTGTGTGTGTGTGTGTGTGTGTGTGTGTGTGTGTGTGTGTGTGTGTGTGTGTGTGTGTGTGTGTGTGTGCGTGTGATTTGTGTTGTGTGTGTCGTGTGTTGTGTGTGTGTGTGCGCGTGCGTGCGTGTGCGCGCGCGTGTGCGCACGCGCGTGCGTGCGCGGCGGCCGTGGCGTCGCCGTGCGCGCGCGCATGCGCGCGCGTGCGTGGGCGCGCGCGCGATGGGGGTGGGGGGGTGGGGGGCAAATTGTCGGAACGCGTATCTCCAACATCCTGCTGCTCGATCCACTTGCAAGATCACCACTTGGATAATCGATGTTGGAGGAAACTGCGCGTGTGCATGTGTGTGCGTGTGTGTGCGTGTGTGTGTGTGTGTGTGTGTGTGTGTGTTTGCGTATGTCTGTGTGTGTGTGTGTGTGTGCGTGTGTGTGTGTGTGTGTGTGTGTGCGCGCGCACTGCGCGCGCGGGTGGGGCTGGAGCACAACGCCGCCGCCCTCCCGCTCAAGGCCGGAAGCTCGCCGCGATCGTAGGCGCCTCGCGAGGAGTAAAGCCGAAAAAGTGGACTGGGGATGGGGGGGGGGGGGTCGACGCCTTGGGTACCCTTCGCGCGCTGGACACCAGCGCGCCGAGGTCCGCATCCCGCTGCGAGTCGATCACCAGCGCCGCGGTCGCCGCGTCCCGCCGCGAGTCGATCACCGCATCCCGCCGCGAGTCACCCATGTGCACCAGCGCTCCCAGACCCCCTCGGGTAAAAAAAAAATCAGGAGGTTTTTACATGTTTCGGCCTCTGGGGGCCCTGACTGGCCCTCGGGACCGTCAAAAAACGATTCAGGATATAGAACTGGCACAGGGAAATGGGTCGAGACCCCCAGGGGTCGACGCAATGAAAAAAATCATGACGTGGGGGGTCTGGGCTGCGTGGCGTCGATCCCGCTCAAGAGGGAAGGTGACAAAACAGCAGACTCGCTCGAGCCCTGCCGACCCGAGATCTCACGGATCCCACGACGAGAAATTCCCAGGGCACACATATGATTGTTATTCCCCACGTGCTTCGTGGGGTTATGGTTTTCTTCCCTGCCGCGCCGCGCCCGCGTCTCCCCCACACCCGCCCTCCTCCCCTCCTCCTCCTCCTCCTCCTCCTCCTCCTCCTCCTCCTCCTCCTCCTCCTCCTCCTCAGCACAGCGCAGCACAGCACAGCAGACCGCAGCACAGCATAGGACAGCACAGCACAGCTCAGCAGAGCACAGCACAGCACGTCTCGGCGACACGCGTCTACATACAGCCGCACGCATGCACACACTCGCACACACAAGACGACACCAGTCCTGGCATAGCAGGCGTGGCACTTTCTCGACACCATAGGGGGTGCGCAGGGGGTGGTCTCTCGCTGCGGTCTCTATACGCCCCAGTCGTCCTGCTATAGCAGGCGTGGCCCCAGTCGTCCTGGCATAGCAGGCGTGGCACTTTCTCGACACCATAGGGGGTGCGCAGGGGGTGGTTTCTCGCTGCGGTCTCTATGCGCGCCGGTCGTCCAGGCATAGCAGGCGTGGCACTTTCTCGACACCATAGGGGGTGCGCAGGGGGTGGTCTCTCGCTGCGGTCTCTATACGCGCCGGTCGTCCAGGCAAAGCAGGCGTGGTACCTTCTCGACACCATAACGGGGTGCGCACGGGGTGGTCTCTCGCTGCGGTCTCTATACGCGCCAGTCGTCCAGGCATAGCAGGCGTGGCACTTTCTCGACACCATAGGGGGTGCGCAGGGGGTGGTCTCTCGCTGCGGTCTCTATACGCGCCGGTCGTCCAGGCATAGCAGGCGTGGCACTTTCTCGACACCGTACGGGGTGCGCAGGGGGTGGTCTCTCGCTGCGGTCTCTATACGCGCCGGTCGTCCAAGCGTAGCAGGCGTGGCACTTTCTCGACACCATAGGGGGTGCGCAGGGGGTGGTCTCTCGCTGCGGTCTCTATACGCGCCGGTCGTCCAGGCATAGCAGGCGTGGCACTTTCTCGACACCATAAGGGGTGCGCAGGGGTGGTCTCTCGCTGCGGTCTCTATACGCGCCGGTCGTCCAGGCATAGCAGGCGTGGCACTTTCTCGACACCATAGGGGGTGCGCAGGGGGTGGTTTCTCGCTGCGGTCTCTATACGCGCCGGTCGTCCAGGCATAGCAGGCGTAGCACCTTCTCGACACCATAAGGGGTGCGCAGGGGGTGGTCTCTCGCTGCGGTCTCTATACGCGCCGGCCGTCCAGGCATAGCAGGCGTGGCACTTTCTCGACACCATAGGGGGTGCGCAGGGGGTGGTCTCTCGCTGCGGTCTCTATACGCGCCGGCCGTCCAGGCCATAAAGCAGCGCCAACTTTCTCGACACCATAGGGGGGTGCCCTGGGGGTGGCTCTGTCGCTGCGGTCTCTATACGAGCCGTCCCGTCCAGCATTAAGAAACAGGGCGTGCACTTTCTCGACACCATAGGGGGTGCGCAGGGGGTGGGCACTCGCTGGCGGTCTCTATAACCGCCGGTCTACTCCTGGCATGAAGCCAGGCGTGGGCACTCTCCGACACCATAGGGGTGCGCAGGGGTGGTCTCTCGCTGCGGTCGCTATACGCGCCGGTCGTCCAGGCATTAGCAGCGTGGCACTTTCTCGAACATCCACCATAGGGGGTGCCGCAGGGGGTGTCCCTGGAGCGCGGCTGCTAATAAACGCCGGTCGTCAGGCATATACGGGGCGGCGCGGCACTTTCTCGACACCAGAGGGGGTGCGCAGGGGGTGGTCCCCGAGCGCGGCTGCTATACGCGCCGGTCGTCCAGGCATAGCAGGCGCGGCACTTTCTCGACACCAGAGGGGGTGTGCAGGGGATGGTTCCTGAGCGCGCGGCTGCTATACGCGCCGGTCGTCCAGGCATAGCAGGCGTGGCACTTTCTCGACACCAGAGGGGGTGCGCAGGGGGTGGTCCCTGAGCGCGGCCGCTATGCACGACGGTCGTCCAGGCACAGCAGGCGCGGCACTCTCTCGACACCAGAGGGGGCCCAGGAGGTGGTCCCTGAGCTCGGCTGCTATGCGCGACGGTCGTCCAGGCACAGCAGGCGTGGCACTTTCTCGACACCCGAGGGGGGCGCAGGGGGTGGTCCCTGAGCGCGGCGCTATACGCGCCGGTCGTCCAGGCAAAGCAGGCGCGGTACTTTCTCGACCCCAGAGGGGGTGCGCAGGGGGTGGTCCCTGAGCGCGGCCGCTATGCACGACGGTCGTCCAGGCACAGCAGGCGCGGCACTTTCTCGACACCAGAGGGGGGCGCAGGAGGTGGTCCCTGAGCTCGGCCGCTATGCACGATGGTCCTCCTCCCTTCTCTCCTCTTCTTCCTCCTCCTCCTCCTTGCCCTCTACCTCCTCTCCAGGAGGCCGACCTGGCTTGCCCGTGCTCGGCCGCCTTAGGTGTCTCGTACTCGACCGACCTGACTTGTTCGGCCGCCTTCGACCGCAGACCGAATACAACGAGCACTACCAACACAACGAGCACGACGACGTCGAGTGCGACGACGACAAGTGCGACGACGAGTGCGACGAGCACGACGACGAATGCGAAGACGAGTACGACGGCGAGGTACGACGACGAGTACGATGACGAGTAAGACGATAGAGCGGCAACGAGTACGACGACGAGTACGACGAGTACGACAACGAGTACGACAAGCACGACGACGATTCGCGACGAGGGTTTAGAACGCAGCATTGCGCATAGATGATAATGGCAAGCAAACACATAAGATTAAAAATCAGCATGTGGGTTCCTCGGTGGCGTAATTCACTTTGGGGGCCGTCTTGGGCCATATTGGGCGCCCCAACGACCCGCGGAAACCCTCGTCCAGGCCGGCGGGGAGGGACAGAGGAGGGGCAAACTCCATCCTGAAGGGCAAGAAGCGAACAGCTAGAGAATAAATAGGTTGTAAGCAAACGCGACATAATCTACTCCAGCTCGAGTTCCAAAGGAGCTTCATTTCCGAAACGAATTGCCAGTCTTCGATAGTGACTCGTAGGGTTTCCCATGAGCGAAGCGGCTAAGATCTAGACCCATTCCACAGCGCCAGCGGGCTGGTTGGCTCGAAAATTCTCAGCGGAAGTTCTGTACAGAGGCCTCGGATGAAAATCCCACCAGTCCGTTAGGGCGCAGGTGGTCTAAACCGTTTCCTCTGCCAACCCCACTCTTTCCCTTCGGGGAGGGGTTTGCCCCTCCCCTTACCCCTGCAAACCGACCTGGGCGAAGGGTTCCGCGGGCCGTTGGGGCGTCCAAGATGGCCCAAGACGGCTCCAAGAGCGAAGAGGCGAAAAAGCAAGAAACATTCATGTTCTCTAGGCTTTTGGGAGGATTTTGGCCGATTGGGGGAGCCCAAGAAGCTATTCGAGGCACTCTAGAGGGGCAAGGCTAATGCACGAAGATACCCCCCCGCCCCGAAGGCTCCCGAGAGCGCCCCAAGAGCGCCCCAAGGGTGCCCCAAGAAGCCCCACGGAGCCCACAAGAGGCCTTCGAGAAGCCCCCAAGAGACCACCAAAACACCCCAAGAGGCCCAAGATGGCCCAGGACGGCCCCAAAAGCGGAACAGCGAAAAAGCACAAAACATGTATGTTCTTAAAGTGTTGGAAAGATTTGCGCCTCAACAGGGGCCTCAATTGCGATTCGAGACACCCTAGCGGGGCAGCGCCAATATACGACCCCCCCCCCCCCCCCCTCCTTTCTTTAATAGATTCTTTGGATCCCCTCCAGCGCCCAAGAGCGCCCCAAGAGGGCCCCAAGAGGCTCCAAGAGGCCCCCTAGAGGCCTCCAAGAGGTTCCCAAGAGACCCCCAAGAAGCCCCAGGAGGCCTCCAAGATGGCGCAAGACGACTCCGAGAGCGAAAACGCTGGGGGGAAGAGAAGAAGAAGAAGGAGAGGGGGGGAAAAAAAAAACTATAATATATATATATTTTTTTTAAAAAAAAAATTAAAAAAAAAAAAAAAAAAAAAAAAAAAAAAAAAAAAAAAAAAAAAAAAAAAAAAAAAAAAAAAAAAAAAAAAAAAAAAAAAAAAACTCTGCGCTGAAAAAGATTTTGGTCCCAAGATTCGAGGCGCTCTAGAGGGGCAGCGCTAATATACAACCCCCCCCCTTCTTTGATAGATCTCCTCCAAGATGGCCCCCAGAGCGCCCCGAAGGCCCCCAAGAGCGCCCCAAGAGCGCCTCCAGAGGGCCCCAAGAGGCCCCAAGGGGCCCTCAAGAGGCTTCCAAGAGGCCCCCAAGGGACCCCCAAGAGGCAACAAGAGGCTCTCCGATATACGCAAAGGGCCCGCGGGACCGCCAAGAAGGCAAAGACGGCCCAGGAGACCCCAAGCTCGCCATTGTCCCCCTCCTCTTTTTCTGCCTCCCCTCCTCTCCCTCCCCCTTCCCATCCTCCTCCTTCTCCTTGTCCGTTTCCCCATTTCTCGTCGTACTCCTCGCCATCGCATCGCAGTCCTCCACCTCATCCTCCTCACCCCCCCCCCTGTGCCCCTGCTATTCATTATGCCCCCCCCCTTCCACCACCTACTCCGACGACGACGGCACCTCCTACATCACCCCTATGCGCACGCGCACGCGCAAACGCACGCGCACGCACCCGCACCCCGCACCCGCGCCCGCGCCCGCACCCGCGCTCGCACCCACACCCGCACCCGCACCCGCACCCGCACCCGCACCCGCACACGCGCCCGCGCCCGCGCCCGCGAGCGCGCCCGCGCGCGCACACGCACACGCGCACGCGCAAGCGCACGCGCACGCGCACGCGCACGCGCACGCGCACGCGCACGCGCACGCGCACACGCACGCGCACGCGCACGGGCACGCCACGCGAACGCGCACGCGCAGACGCACGCGCACGCGCACGCGCACGCGCACCCGCACCCGCACCTGCACGCGCACTCGCACTCGCACGCGTACGCGTACGCGCACGCG